TAAACTAAACAACATTTGCCTGGGCACTACATCCAAATTCTTTACCAAATTTGAATTAAAAATCAAATACAGAAAATAAACACTATGATAAAAATAAGAAAAAATAAAAAGAGAATTAAAACGAGTGTTTGTGCCAACACCTTTTCGACACCGCCATCTTTGGCGATTCTTGATTATTTTTTGGCATTGAAAAATGCCCTGAAAATTTACAGATATGTAGTTTACATAATCAGTAACTCATTAAAAAAAAATTTAAAAATAATAAAATTTTTCAAAAAATAATAAAAGTTTTTAGGCCCCGAAATAAAGTGAAAACAAAAAGTTAAAAGTGAAAGAAAAAAAAAATAGTGAGTGGGCGAGCACGTTTTGACACCCCCATCTTTGACAATTTTTAATGTTTTTTTGGCTTAGCAGAATAGCTTCAAAATTTATAGGCGTGTAGGTGACATCATAGAGAACTCACAAAAACAAATTCAGAAAAAAAAACTTATTTTTAGGCCTCGAACAATTTTTTGGCGGGGGCTGAACCTGGAGGTGTTCGGCCCCCGAACGGGACCCCAAACGCCCAAACGTTCGGGGGCCCCCGAACATTCGGTCAGGTAACCCTGTGTATATATATATATATATGTGTGTGAGGATTGAGCCCTCAAGTAGGGGCCTTGCCATGATGTACATGCTCTGGGCTAAGGGCCCAGCAAGCCTAGTGCCCGCCCTAAGTGAAGGCGGGCCAGCAAATCAACAAGAGCCCTCTCGACCAACATTTCACGAAGTGGGGTCTATACAGTTGCAGCACGCCAGTTGGTTGGAGTGCACCGAGTCTCGGATTTCAGCAAATGCTKAAATGCCCAGGGCCTCTGAGTTAGTTAGGCCCTGGGAACTCGAACGTGAGGCCGACAATGCATGCAGGGTAGGATGGTCGGAATGCCAAAGGGAAAATCAGCCCACTATCTGAATCTGGCCGCAGACCTTGAGAAGAGAGGCGCAACTGCATTGCTCCGGGGCCCAACTGTATCAGGAAGGCTTCAGCCTCTGGGTCCCGGTCGCAGGCTGAAGGGAGGCCGCCCACATGCTGCATTGGCATATAGGCAAGCAGGGCGAGGCAGCGGGGATCTTGGCCAATGCTGGCACATGCGGGCACGCTGCGCGGATGCATGTGT